GTATAATGCTTCTTTCTTGTGTCGAGTAATACATGTACATTTTAAGCTGTGACCATCTTGAGACAGTTTACAAATAGTAAAAAAAGTATGTAGCGACGCCCTACTGTCTGTTCGGCCGGATAGTATTACAGTAGTGTAATCGCTTACATGTACTCCCCCAGGTCGTCTGTACCTTGGTATTGGTTTGTCCAAAGTTGATTTCAAAAGGATTGTGTGTTGATACGTTACATCTGGTCTACACAGTAAGTACCTTATGTATATAGTTAGCGGTGTATACTTTACTACTAAAGTACATTACTACAGTATACGCCGTGCACTGTGTATATCTAACTCCTAGAGTACATTGTATACATTACAGTACACCATGCACTGTGTATACTTTACTCCTAGAGTACATTGTATACATTACAGTACAACATACACTGTGTATACTTAAGTCCTAGAGTACATTGTATACATTACAGTACAACAAACACTGTGTATACTTACCTCCTAGAGTACATTGTATACATTACAACACAACATACACTGTGTATACTTAAGTCCTAGAGTACATTGTATACATTACAGGACAACATACACAGTGTATACTTAACTCCTAGAGTACATTGTATACATTACAGTACAACATACACTGTTCATAGTTTAATCTCGAATGAGTTATTGAGCTGGAGACCCGATAGATATCATAATTCTTTTTGTTTGTTTCTTTTTCATTTGAAAGTTTGTTTAATAAAAAAAAAATTGTAAATGCATCTGTAAATATAGATAACAGCTAATCATTTCCAATTGCATACTACAATATTTGTCGAGTTCAGTTCCTTCCATAGATAGGAATATTCCAATGCTGGCCAGTCCAATCATCGGGTGGATGGTCCTCCTTCGTTAGACGTTTCGGCGCTTATCCATGACGTTATCCAGAGGTGCACCGACTGGGTTGATCAGACCCAGCCAGGGACTGGTCGGCTCTCGCTGCTGCTGCTGGTTGGAATTGAAGCTTGCTGCCATGTTGTTGCTGAAGCCTCCTGCGACATCCATCAAGTCTTGCCATGTTTCGTGTTGTGGCACCGTGTGACTAGCACTGTTGTTCGTGTCCACCCCACAGCTCTTCTCTCTTCCTCCACATCCAATTGGATGCCATCTTTGCCTGTCTGATCACAGCACCCACCAGCTTCTTCCGCTCTGTCCATATCATCCCCAGCAACCTCAAAGTTCTCCATTGAAATTGGCTAGGGAAATCACTGCAACCAACCTCAACTAGCAGACCCCATACCTTCCAACCTCGTTGTTGACAATCCTCTACAAGTTGCTAGTACTTCGTCCTCTTCCGATCATGTGCCCCCTCTCTCCTGTCTTCCCATGGAACTGTCAGCTCTACCATCGCGACCTGCCTGAAGTTCCGGGACCACAACACAATGTCTGTGCGGAGTGGTGTAGCAGCCACCTCTGCTGGTAAACCCATCCTCTGTATTCCGCCTCCCTCCGAGCTGCTCTTCCCTTTGGTTCCTGCCTTCACGAAGTTGACAAATCCTGGTTACTTCGTCACTGCTCTTTTCATCCTTCTGGCATCGTCGAGGCTCTCTGCTATTTCCTTTAGGACCTGGTCATGGCGCTATGTGTACCTGCCATCTGTAAGTGCGACCGTGCAAGATGATATCACAGACGCCAACTTGACAGGTCGTCCGCACTGTCCACCTGCTGCATTGTCCCTCAGTCCCAAGGTGTGTAGGTTTTACGGGCTCGGTAGCACTTCATATGTTGCCTTCATCAGGAAGCCGAGTATATAACCCTTCATCTTCCAGATGTCACCCCATGATAGTTTCCGCTCTCGTGCACCCTCCCGATGTAGCCAACGTCCCTGTTTGCTCATGCCGACGGCCTGTACCTGCCTGGTCTCCTCTTCCATCGTGGCCTCTGTTTGAGTCATCTCTCTGCGCTGCCTTTGGCTAACCCTTCCCCAATTAGGTCTGAGGATGTTCCAACGATGTCACTGAGCCTCAGACTTTCTTCTGCCTTCTTCACTGCCTGTTTTGCGTACCACTTCGACAGAATACTTCATTTTGTTTACAAAGGTGTCCCGTACAGGTGACAAACAGCCAAACGTGATATACGACGTTGCCGAACAGACTTCTTTCAAGCGATCTGATTGGCTACTACAATTGTAATCATTTGGTTTTGTGATTTATGTTTTCATTGGTTTCCACCCGAGGATTTTATTTTTTTTACAATAGAAATGCTTCAATTTGGTATTTCTCACCGCCGTGAAAACTAAAACTTTTATTTTATGAACTTTAACTTATATTTCATTTACATATGAACAAACGTAATTAATAGATATTTGAATGGTCTGTACGTTTTTTTCAATTGAAGTTTTGTATTCTTAGATCGCAAATCCACTATAAAATAGAAATACAAATTTGAATAAAAATCATATCCGAAATTGAAAATATATTTTGATACATAATGTAATTGTAACTAAATATTATTGAACCCAGTATAGGTTTAAACTTTTAAGCTACAGCTTTACAAGTTTTTGTTTCCGTTGATTTATGAAAAGTTACAATACTAATGACTTGGGGGTCCTATGTCGAATAATTCTTATACTTTTCTAATATCGTCAGCCATCAAATCTACAAAGAAGGTACCAGAAACACAAATAACGAAGGAAGACGGTTTATGACTTGCGCCCTAACCGGGCCTCGGAGTCACGACCAGCTGTACTAAATCACCTAGCGGAGAAATAACATCGGCTATGATTTCCACTCCACTGCCATCACATCACATTAACTCATTCACCCCTGAAGACACATTTGAACTCTTGCTGTTCAAAAGTTGGAATAGTTTATTAGGAAATGTTAGGGGTGAATGAGTTAAAATGCTGGTTTATTGTTGCTATTGTACAATTTTACCTTTGACATAATCTGGTTTGGTTTGTGCTGTACGTCCAACTAACTGATATGGTTATTTAAGGACGAGCTACCGACCGCACACTTTAGCCTCAAGCCCAGCGGTGAAGGGACAGTAGTCATAGATGGTCAGAGGCTTCAGAAGCGACCCAGTGGCGGAGGCCTTGTAATCATAGACAGACATATAACTTAACTACCGTGGTCCTATCTTCGACATAATCAGGTATAACTTGTCAGTGACATAATAGAAGTATGGTATTTTATGATATGATATTGCGACAAAGGTACACTCCTATGTTTCCCTAGGTATGGTACTGTATATATAAGGAGTAATGTGATTTACGTGGAAAGATTCTACAAATTAACGATTTTAGTGTTTACGTCTTTTGGTCTAAATTTGAACCAGGTCAGCTGCTCATCTTTGTATAACAATTTCCGTCCTGGTCTTGGTACAGAACCCAAATCCTTCATCACCCGGGTGAACGCCCAACACTAAAAGCTACAGGTGAGGTGGTGTCAAGCAAGGCGCTAGTATAAAAGATAGTTAGAAGCAGAGAGAAATATAAAGATCCAAAATATTGGGTGCAGTAGATTTATTTTGGTCGCTGTTGTGTCCACAAATAAAGGACACAAAAGCAAATCCTCAATTCTACTGCTCTGGAAATCATTATTTGTTTAATTGAATCTGATAACGATGCTCGTTCACAATGATAATTAAACATGTGGATTGAATTCATTGCCAAACCATCCTTGATCGAGCAGTAATTTCCATTGCACATTCATGAAATCGATCAAATGTCGATTTGTAGTTAACGAGACTCGTAACTATCAAATTACTTATGACGGACATAGCGCATAGGAAATCCCGCTGTCTTCGGATTCTATAGCCCCCGTTAAGATGGCTACAGCAAGACTGCAAACGGTTGATGCTTATTTATTCTCTCAATCATAACAGAACGACGACAGAACCATGTTGAATTTACAATACGCAGAGAGTATGTACTGCAACGCTTAGAAGAATCAGTTAGTATACATACAATATATTTAGATAAGTAGACTCTGTTTTAACGAAAAGCACATTACGCTGTACACTTTCTGTTGATACAAGAAGGTCTATTAAACAATCGCTATATTTGTTCTACTTCGGGATGCTAGCCAATTAATGACGCTCCTATAATGTTTTACGTATATCATAGTTTTTCTCTCTATTGATGTTAAAAGTAAATTAGCGTAGATATTATCACGTCATTACGTCTTAATAATAAACTGTTTTTAACTCTCAAGGAATCGCAAAATACCAATCTACCAATCTGAGTGAAGGTTAAATATCTATTTTAGAAATGACTCATTGCTTTATGTTTTTCAAATTTATATATTTAACCAAACGTGCCATCGGCATTTCAAACTTCAGAAAATTTTGTTAATTTTATACATAATAAAATCAAAGAATATATACTACATTATCAAATAGAAGGATATGACACTCCTCTTAGGTTATGTGTAATTATATATAAATAATGATATTAACCGAAATTGTAATGAAAGCCATTAAGCGAAATTAATGACATTTATGACGTTAGTTACATGATACAATAAAAACTCGATATAATGCCCCTCGTTTGATTTGCCACCTCGTTTACCAACAGCATATTCCAATGTCCTCTTTTTTCTCGTTTTGTTAAGAATTCCTTTACACGTTTCTCTCAATTTATTACCAAACCCCTTTGTAACGCCAAACATTCTCTGGACAAAGGGTGGCAGTATAACGAGGTTTTATTCATTTCATTCAAAGCATTTGTTCTGTACAAGCATATTCTATAACCAATAAACATTACTCATCCTAATATTTTAGTTCCCCCGAAAACTTAAACTTTACAACAAGGGTAGACAAAACGACATTCTGGTTTACATTCATTGGTTTAGTTAATGAATGACAACTGATACGTTTCAGGAAAGTTGTAAGACTTCAAATTTCAATTCTTATTTTTATATTCATAATCCAATATGCTTGTTTTACTAAGGAAATGAACACAATATAATTAAACTAAAAATATCACAAATCAAAACAAACGTGACATTTTTATAATTGTTTGAATAAGTTTTTATTGATAATTTGATAACACATCAAGTTTATGATAAAGTGTGTCATCTGATACTTATCTATTGAGCGTCATAAATCTGTCAGCTTTTGTATCCAAAACAACAGGCAAAGCAAGATAATTTGTTCACTTCCCTCCTAAAGTGTTTATCGAATGTGAAGTAAATAAACGGATTCATCACATTGTTTAACAAATGAAGCCTTAAGCAAAACATAATTGCTAAAGAATACACTCCATCGTTATTAAAATTGACCCAAAAATCATTCGATTCAATATTTTTGGAAAGATTTACAGCAAAAGTCGGTACAAGACACAGTATATACGCTAAAGCCAGAGTCATAAACATGTACGTCACACGATATCGCGCCGCCTGGCTCTTTGAAGATGGTTCTCTTTCTAAATTAGAGTATAAACTGTCATGTTTGGCTATTTCGTCAGTGAGCCTGCACATTTCAGTTTTAGGTGCGTCCAGTGTGGGGCCACCTGTAATAACTAAATCATTTCTGGTCATACCTTTAGATTCCCCGTTAGTGGTGACATCTAAATGTTCCTGCCATGGTGCTACGTCAGCAGACTTCCGGCTTGGACTTGCCGGAACTTTTGAACTCACGTGACGTTTTAAACGATTTTCCTGTCTATATAACTTTGTTCCGACTGAGCTGTAAAATACAATTATTCCAATGACTATCACAAGACTCAACAATCCATTAATTCCCTGGTAAATATAAATTAATGCTTTGAAGGTAAGGTCAGTTCCGTATCGACTTCCGCATCTATTTCCGGTCACATTCATCTTTTGGTTATACACAGGTACTCTTGCGAAGAAAGCCCATGAGGGTAGAGATAAAACCGTAGCTACAGACCCGGTGATAAATAACGTCTTGCGTCTAAACGCCAAGGTCATGTTCTTACCAAGGCGACAAATTTTCATATAACGTTGATACGCTATCACAAGATTCAACAGACCGGACCATATCAAAACAACACACGCAAAAAACCACAAACATTCACACAAACCCGGAACCGGAAACATGACTGGATATATGTTAGTCAACAAACTGACGCCACATCCGGCTAAGCTGGCAATGGCGTCTGTCACTGCCAGGACTGGAATGAAGTAACGTACATCTTTTTTGTTTTCCATTTTGAAAATGTAGACATACAGGACAATAAGATTCCCGAGAACGCCTATAACGAGATATAGAGCGAGTATGACATCGTTAGGAAGTAAAGCTAACGATATATTGGAATTCCATTCATATAGACGATCCCGCGTCGTTTCAATGCTGGTATTCATTTCCATTGTGTTATACGGAGAATGATTCTGTCCTTTCACAACGGACATGTATATAATCCAAACTGCTTCCAAATAATGTTGAAATCGTGTCAATTTATATAAATACTCAAAAGTTCCCTTACTGTTTAGGCGTCATTGTTGTGAAAAATAAAATCTCCTTGCTACCTACATCATACGTTAATTTTCATTTTAAGGACGTGTAACATTTTCTTTCATAAAATCAAAACAATCAAAACACTGTCAACATGAAATGAAACAACTAACACGTTCGCTGTCATAAACAAACGATATGAGCCTCTCCTGTTAAGAAGGTCTTGCAACTGTGAAGTGTTTCCAGAGTATGAAAGAGAATACAATACCTCCTGCAATGTTCAAAGTTTTTTCACAGTTACTTCACATTTACTGAACCGAGCACGGAATCATCCACAAACACTTTTTTGGAAAGCAAAGCCGTTTCCATTTCTTTGATCTGACGTTTCAATTTACGAGCATGTCGGAATGTTAACAGTCATGGCATTTGTTTCCACTGTATTGAAACAACGTTTTATAGATTGTGTGTTCTCTCTCGTGAAATAGGACAGTCTTTATGTTCTGATCTCCTCCGAGTAATTTATAAAGTGTCGGATATCGTATAGTTGTATGTTGTATGGTAGACAGAGCACCGCGATGTTCTGTAATCCCCCAATCCAAAATGTTGCGTTGAGGTAGTTTTTTGAACAAAAAAAAATCAAAGTACGAAGAACGATGACATTACATATATTCCGCTGATTTGAAGAGAGGACATTTAACAAGCTTTTTGTTCAATAGACTATCACTTGTTTTTATACTAAAAAAACTGTTCTGTTACCTAGCACAAACACCGCCATCATAACGCAAAACGATTTTGATGTGAAATACATTTGCTATTTTTAGTCGAAGATTGTGTATGTAAACTTTTCTCTGGTATTTCAGAAATATTTTGCGAGTTTCTGATAAACGTGCACAAACATCCTTCCTGCTTCAGAATCACTCTGGTATATCCCGTACAATTGATAAGACTAAATATACACGTTCGCAGGCTCTGGCTGGTCCCGGAACGTTCTAACGATAAACGACCAAGCATTTTCCTCACGATTACTTCTTAAAAAGCATAGACCTTTAAATTCTCATAATCCTTTCCTGTGAAGTTTTCGTGTTATGCGTAGCCCCCGAGATTGTCTTGAAACATGTTGGTATCATTGTAGACGAGCCTGCACTGAGTTCGCGTCATCCTCGCTGGCCAGCCACTGAATCAGCAGCGCGTTGCTGGCTGTATATATATATACCTCACCACTCTGTGTGCTATATTGAACTCAGGCAGGTTAGAATAGGCCCAACCCTTTCCAACCTTCTGAATCAATATTTACATCTTATTGTTATTAGCCATTGTGTAAAAAAAACCTAACATGAAAGGTGAATACAATCTTTTACACATATATAATTCATAGGGAAGGTCTATGTTTTCCTATGCAATACTAACGAGGAAATGGATTCTATTGTTTAACGCATAACACGTCATTAGTTCTGTATACATATACAATAAGGCATTCCTTTCTTTTCTTATGATGTATAGATGAACTGCACAGGTTTGACCTGTGATGATAAGCCATGTAGTTGCACTGTACGCAACCCTAAGACGAAAGTATTCAGATAGGCTCCTTGTTACATAAATGTTCCAACTAGTTACATCATTCTCAAAATGTTTGGCAGGCCATGATTTCAGCAACGAAATACATGTACATTTGAATGACACTTCCGATTTAGACCGCACTGAATGGCAGGCTTTAGTACAGTAATACAAGTTCCTATTAGGGATCACATTACTGTACCTACCGACTGAGGGAGATTAGTAAAATCGTTGGGCAGTGCTTTTTTTGGCCATGCACTTCAATACCCCTTCCAACAATTCCTGACATTTTAAGCGGTACCAACGTATTTTGATGTTCATTAATTGGTGAGGCAATATGACCGTGATTTTTCCATATCTAAGTCTGTTTAATATCTAATCAAGCAGTTTATGATTTTTCTCGTGTGTTTCTTGTCCGTCTTACAGCTGGCATCTTACACATGGTTAAGATAATGTACTGACTAAGTCCATGTATATTACATAATCTAAAATCCATCCAACATGCCTTCTTTTATATAGATCAACTATTCTTAAAATGAGCGTGGATATATTTCCTTGGCGATCAAGGTTTCTAATCAAACAGACACGAAGTTAACTAATGGGATTTTTGTTTAATTTCTTGAAACCATCTCAGTATGATAGTTTATTACCTGTTATTTACAATTTATAGTAACCACAGCAGATCATGGGGTGGAGTACCCATTAGGGATTTCTTATTTGAATAAGACGTATTAGTAAACTCCCTGACTCATTTTAGGCATCAGTACTACGGTTACCACGCCTGCAGGTCGGGTAATCGAGAAAAGAATGCACCTGCTGCTACCCACTGCATGTGTATCGTAAGGGGCGACTTATGTGCTAACCCCCTGCATAATTGGGAATTTGCTCTTGTGCCCTCTACTAGGGGACACAAAATTGACCAAAATAAAACCGCTGTCCCATCGCAATATTTAGGATCTTTACGTTTTTCTCTACTTCTACATTCTTGCTTGGCAATACCAAACTTTTTGTCTTAATGTTAAGCGTTCGCGGGACATACCAAAGTCCTTAAAATGGTAGTTGATATTCTCTGCTTAACGTTCAGCATTATGGATAATGACTACATCTAGTTCACCTGTTGTCAGTACAATGTGACCGGGCGGAACACTGTGCTGGGTGCCTTCGTCATTGTATATTGTATATTCAGTGAGATAGCACTATAAAGTCGGTATATGAATACAATCTTTAATGATTAAGATGTCTGAAGTAGTCTCTGTCAAGTGCAGTCTGTCTTAATGTGACCTATCAGGATGACTAATTAACGCAGTACTTAGGTGGTTATAGCGTACAATGTATATTGATTGGACTACTTTCTCATGGTTAATTACTCAAGAGGGAGATGAACAAGATAGGGTTACAGCGCTAGTAAATCATGACCCTCAGCGTCTGCAGTGACACCAACATCGCCGGCGAAGAAATAGAAATGTTGTTTTAGATATCTTAGACAGGCACTTGTTTGAGTTGTATCTTTGATCAATCAGCAGTATTTTATGAAGAACAGGTTTCCTTCCGCCACAAACTCGCGATATATTCGGTATATATCACTCACGCTGGTATATAGTACAGTAGTCATAGGGAGATTGGCACAGAGTTTTTAGACTCCCCGCTAGGAAGTTATTTTGGGCGATTCACGCACTTAACTCAAATGATCAACTATTATTAAAGCAGGCTGTTTGGTAACGACAGAATGACTCGGGTTACACAGACTAAACACCGAACGTTAGGTGAATATAAGTTCACACCCTCAAATCATCAAAGACTTCCTCTGTTTGTGATAACAAAGAAGTTATTCAGGTAAACAGCACCGGAAGTTGGAACTACTCGTAACGACTTTAAGACCCGACAGCATGATGTGATGATATGTTGTGGTATTATAAAGCCGTATCGTTTCCCAAAAACAGGTGCCAGAGACTTTTTGTAGATTTTGGCGCATGAAATTTTAGAAGTGTGTGGACGTTTCGTTCTGGGTCTCTGGTTTGCACAGGCAGTGGCGTAGCAAATCATTTTTCGGAGTATATGGCACGCAACACCGGAAAGGGTGGGGGGGGCTTGTTATCCCGATTTGTTATATGAATATTAAATTGTGTCCTTCACTTTAGAGGTTTTTTATTTACATGAATCTTCGAGATTTGTCAACGTGTTTGTAGACAAAAAGAATATAATTCAAGGGGATATTTTTTAATATCTTCCTTTTTATTATATTATTGATATGGACGTTCCATATAAATTACAGAAATCTTCCGAAAGATTTTACTACCCGGCATTTCATCTCCTAACTGTCACACAAAGCCCTAATCATATGCGCGGAATTTAGATTAACATAACAGCACTATATACCAGTGTAGCTGGAATTCATCTACGTCATCGCTCACACTCTTCTTAACAATTCGGTACTTAGTATAACGTAGTAATAAAACCCATGTACTGACGCAATCCGAGACAAAAATTAAAATGAAAACTTTGAAACATTGTGACATAATGAAAATATATACTTTTTGATTTCAATTCAAATTGGTTATATGCCATATGTAAAGAAAAAAAATCAAAACAAAAGGGACATCTTGTAAGCCGTATACTTGAGGTTAAGGAATTAATATCAGGATTGGATAGGTCAAAGTTCAACGATGACTGGTTTGAAATTACTTTCAAGCATTTTTGCCATGATGACGTTTTAAGAAACAAAGAAATTCATAATTAAATAAGCAAATGTGTTATGTGCCCAAAAGGTTATTCTAAAAGACGCATATGTTTGTTTAAAACACAGATTTAGTGTTATTCATGTATGCTGACAAGGCTTATAGAAACTAATCCATTAATCTTTCCAGGATGGTAAATGTGACTGAGATTAAAAAGAGCAAATATAGCCATTTTAATGTTGCACCCACTCAAAGCAGCATTAGAAGCTCTAACATATACAAAATACCACCGTAGTGCGTTCTGCCTTCGTTTCTCCTAGTCCCTTATCTTTCACAAAATTCCCCTTAATCATACCATCCCTGATCCAGGAACCTCACGCTGTGGTTCTCTTCTTTTCCTCACAAAAATCAAAACGACTTTATGCGGCTGAATAACGAAACGAACGACATTTTAATTCAGCCAAGTCTGTTTCTATCGGCGAAATATCGAAGCAAAGACATTTTGTAATAGCTAATTGGCGTTTATTCGTAGCGAAATAACACGAGCACAAAAGGCCAAGATTTGTAACGATACTGAAAACAGTTGTAGGTCGATATTTGTATTTGAGCGACGAAATAGCGAAACAAACGACAGTGAATAATTACAATTCTCGAAAAAACAGAGTAACGAAAGGGCACATAACTGCCAACAGTTTTTCGTGATATTCTCTTCAGTTTTCTTTGCGATCAAACTAATTCACGAGCAATTGAAGCATATAGCAAATACTGATATTCACGTTTATTTGCAAAGAAATACATTGGCAATTTAAAATTATTTGAGAATATAAAATCGCATAGAAAATCACTTAGAATTTTAAATAATATCCCCCAATTGGGAAATCGCACTTTTGTTAATAAAATCCACAGGCTTATTTCGCGAGATATTTACTAGTAACACGCCAAAATAAAAGATGAAAACATTGCAGTTATTATCTCCGTTATTTGGTTTGGGGGAATGAATCATATTCGTGAATTCGGGGAAAAACGTAAAAATCTACATTTGAAAGTAATAAGATCCTCCAAATGCTCTTAGCTGATAAGGCAAATGCGGAATTAATGCATACATAATGCCGGTGGAGATAGCAGCCTTGTCGTAATATAAGTATATTAACCTGTTGATAGACGTTTGACACTAATTGAGTTTTATATCAATCACGTAATGACATGTTATCATACCATGTTCTTCTTCCCTGCCAAAAATGCTTTCGTGTTTCTTCTGTACATAGACAAACCACTGTTAATGCCAAGTCGTTAGCGTTCTTCATTTTGGTAGTAATTCATTTTATGACTGGTTTTTCGTTGTGGAATTCTTGCCCTAACTTTGTATACGACACAGCCCAGACTAGACACACAATCATCATTCCCCTCCTACACAGATTCACCTTTGTCGAACTTTTCCACCAACGTTAAATGTCACATTTAGAAACGTGACATTTCGAAACCAGATACATTTTATACATATGCTTCTTTGGAAAACTTCCCTATGCTTAAGTTTTGTTTTATTTTGAACGATACGCACATAAAATGCTACAGGCAGTACTAGATGGCCTCTGATTGCTCCTAACAACGATTGTGTAACATGTTGTAATTGCGAGGATATTACACGTATTGAACAAATCACGTGTTTTATTTCAATGAAAGAATATAGACTTTCACGTCCACTTTAACTTTTTATTGCTAGTGTATTGTAATATTTGTAACATTTGATGTTCTAAAGCAACTAACGTATTAGATTAATACCATCTACACTTTAATTTATATTTAGGAAAAGCTTGTTCCAGTATGGTTCATGCATGGAATAAAAAAAAAATGTGGATATCTGTATGTCTCTAGCGAGTTACTATTTTATTTTTCGCGATTTTGAGGAAGTATATTTTCTGTGAAATCAATAGCAAAA